AAAAAAAAAACCTCTCCAAAAAAAAAAAAAGAGAGATTTTTTTTTTGCTATAGGGCATGTGCGCTTGCAAGAGAGAGAAAGAAAAAAAGTGAGAAATCACCCCACCAGGGCAATGGCCATGCCACAGTCCTTTCTTCTCCGTTCTCCTCTCATGATTTGGGGCATGCACACACATGTACATGGCATGAGTTTTAAGCCACTGGGTCCAGGACTTGAACTCTGGTTCCTCCACTTGGGTTTTATTAAAACTTTTGCTCTTAGCAAGACATCGTTAAGAGAAAGACAAGCTGGGAGAAAATAAATATTTTCAGAATGTGTAAAGATCTCCTACAACTCTTAAATATGAAAACTATCTAATTAAAAATGGGCAAAGGACTTGAACAGACAGTTCACCAAAGAGGATATGAGTATGGCAGATGAGCACATGAGAAGATGCTCACCATCACTAGCAGTTGGAGGAAATACAGATTAAAATCACCACGAGGCCACACACCTATTAGATCACTTAGGAGAATACGAATGCTGATGAGGATGTGGAGCAACTGGAATGCAAGTGGTGTAGCCATCTGGACGATCATTTAGCAGTTTCCTATGAAGTGACATATATACCTCCCACATCACCCACCACTCTCTTCCTGGGTATTGGCCCTAGAGAAATGGAAACTTTTGTTGGTACAAAATCCTGCACAGGAATGTTTATGACAGCCTGATTTATAATTGCTCAAAGCTGAAAACAACCCAAATATTCTTCAGCAGGTGAACAGACTGGCACATCCAGACAGGGACTCCATCTTAGCCATAGAGGAATGGACCTCTGCCACTGTCACCACAGCATGGCTGGACCCCTGGGTGGTGTGGAAGGTAGCCTGGCTATGCTGTTTCTCTTGCAGAGAAGAGTACCTATGGCAGGGGCTCTGCTATGTCATGATCCTTTGTCCCATGCCCATGTTGCCTCAGTTCCCTCATGAGCTTGCTTTACTCTGACCCCCATTGGTGACCCTCTGGGACCCCGGCTGTCTCCCTATCCTCTTTCTTGCTCTGTGACTGTGTTGGTGCCCACTCCCACCCCACTAGCCCAAGTGCAGGGCTGAAGGGCTTCTTGGACGTGGCACAGCAGTGACTTCAGAGCCACCTTTCCCCTGATAGTTGGCAACATCCAGGTCTTTCTGGAGTGGAGGGATCTTGGAGAGTGACAGCGAGTATCCTCTAAAGAGCCCAGCACTACAAACACGCCTCCTATGCCCACTGCCAGGGTTAGGCTGGCTGGTAAAAAAGGGTTCCCACTGTCCTGATGCCAGCCTGGCAGAAAGGTGGCTATCCCTGTGTCCTGCTGGAAGGACGGTCTCCCTGATTGTGCAGGGAGTAAACGAATCCCAAACAGCCTCGTTTCAGTCCCTGGGGCTCCTCCCACGGCACTAGGCGAACTCCAGAAACCAGGGAGCAGTGCCTACAGCCAGCCTGGAGAAGAGCAGCCTCCAGCAGTGGAGCAGTGGGTTCCCTGCCTGAATATACCCACCCCTGCCTAAGGGGCCAGGCCTAAGCCAGTCCTGAGGCCACCTAGCCCATAAATGAGCATACAGAGGAATTTGGGCTGAGGGAGGGGTCTGTGTGTGGCCCAGTGCACAGAGGTCTGGCTGGGGCAGAAGCGGTGGCAGTGGTCTTAGCCATGGAGTGAAGGCACTCACTCAGCTGCAGGTAACTCCCAGAGGCCATGCCGAGGAGGCTGCAGCCTATTCGGCCCACCTGGTCCAGGCCTGCAAGGCAGAGTGCAGCCTGCTGGGGAGATGGGTTTGCAGGGGGAGGCCAAGCAGTACGGCTATGGGGGCTAGTGGTTACCAGGCAGTTGCTCACCAGGTCTGTATGTGATATGCTGAGGGCAGGGGAAGGTCCTGGGGGCCCAACATGAACTACAACACATGAACTTGGCTTTGTGGCCAGCTTCAGCCAGAAGAAGCAAACCCAGGGTGGCCTGGTTCTAAGATGCTCTGAACCACTTGGGACCATCAGTGTCATGTAAGGACTGGCTGTCCTGTACACACAGCAGGTAGGGTGCTGGGTACACGTCCTGGCCAGGCTGCTTCTAGGGCACCCACAGAGATCACTTCCACTCCCCTGGGCCCCACGGAGAGGGGCTTGACTCCTTGTGGTGGGAGCATTGTGCTGCTAGGGGTGAGACCCAGGCCACGGCACTGCCTCCTGGGAATAGTCGTGGTCTTAGTGGCTTTTATTAATAAACAGTACTATAACGTAACATGAGAGAATGTAAAAGTCTCCACTGGAAATGATGTCTGTGGTAATGACGTTGATTTGATTGTCAGGCATTGCATGTGTACTTTGAAAGACTTTATTGTGTGCTATAGAGATGTACAAAAATTAAGTATGGATAACCAATCGTAAGATAAAATACATATATATTAAAGGAGGAAAAGAAAAAATATATACAAACAGCCTGTGTCATTAAAATGTGTTTGTCCTAAAGGAATAAAAGTTGAAGCCACTTAGAAGTAGAGAAAATGAAGATGAGCCCTGTTCATTTTTCTTCACACATGTTCGGGCATGTGGCCGATGGTGTTTTTATCTGGACTTGGTTTTAAGTTGGTGCATATGACCCTTGTCAGAGCACAGTTGCAGTCACTGTGGGGTGCCCTGGAAGTGGGACCTGGGCCTCACCTCATCTCCGCTTCTGGAGCCGCCTTCTGCCTGCAGTGGGGCCTGTGTCATCCAAAGTAGGAGCTGAGGGGTGGGATGGCTGTGCTTGACCCTGGTCTCTGCCCCACAGACAATACTACTGGTACGACGAGCGGGGAAAGAAGGTCAAATGCACAGCCCCCCAGTACGTCGACTTTGTCATGAGTTCTGTGCAGAAGCTGGTGACTGATGAGGATGTGTTTCCCACAAAATACGGTACGTCTCTCCTGGCGGCAGCATCACCAGGGTGGGTGAGGTGCTCAGTCCTGCTGAGTGGGAGGACATTTGGGGTGCATCGGTGACTGGTGCTTTGCATAGCAAGGAGGCAAGGTGGCGACCCTGTCCCTGCTCAGCACATGGAACCTGGTTGTGGAGTGAGAGGGGCACCTCTGGCAGAGCTCAGCCCAGCCTGGGTTCAGTGCTGCCTCCTAGAGTTCTGGGCCTGGGCTATAACAGGCCCTTGACCTCTGCTACCTGCTGCACAATGAGGCCTTCCTGGCTGTGGCTTGCTGGTTGATGGGCAGCAACTGTGCCTATGGCCAGGCCCTGCCAGGCCAACCCTGGGCTGCCATGGTGGCACCTGGTCAGCAGGCAGTGCCCATGCATTTTGTACCCCTCCTTTCAGTTCTGGCCATGTGCAGCCCTGGAGCATCCATCAAGGAGGCATGTGGGACCCAAGGGCCCAGTCACAGGCCCTTACTGGGGCTGTGGTCAGCACAGCACAGAGGGCACCCACTCCTTGGGCTAAGGTCACAGGGTGACCACAGCAGCCCCAGCTTGGGGTGGGCAGAGGCTGTCTGCTCGGTCAGGGCTGGAAAGTGAGGCATGTGTGAGACCTTCCAGGCTGGTCCTGCAGGAAGCCCACAATCAAGAGGGCACCTGTGCAGTCTTGTGATGCCGCAACCTCCCCCCAGGCAGAGAATTTCCCAGCTCCTTCGAGTCTCTGGTGAAGAAGATCTGCAAGTACCTGTTCCACGTGTTGGGCCATATCTACTGGTCCCACTTCAAAGAGACCTTGGCCCTCGAGCTGCATGGACACTTGAACACACTGTACATCCACTTCATCCTCTTTGCCAGAGAGTTCAACCTGCTTGACCCCAAAGAGACCGCTGTCATGGATGACCTCACTGAGGTGCTGTGCAGCGGCACTGGTGGGGGCCCTGGAGGGGGCAGCGGGGATGGGGCCAGCAGTGGGGGTATGGGGGCACAGAACCATGTGAAGGAGAGATGAGCCCTCCTGGGCCGGACAGGGGTGCATATGTGCAAAGAGACGATCATGTGCGTGTGTGCACACACGTGCCAGGGCACGCTTGCTGGTAAGGTCTGAGGGCCCCCCAGGTGGTGCCAAGCGTGGGCTCCACAGACACCACAGGGCCACAGTCACATTCTGTGGCTTCCCTGTTGGATGGATGAGTGGCGTTTGTAGCAGAGAGCCTTTGGAGTCATTCATTCATTCAACAAACATTTATTGGACTGACGTCTTGAGTTTTCTTCTGTGGGGTTTTCTTTCTCTGGTCTTCCATGGCCCCTGCCCTCCCTGCCTCCTCCCCTGGGGGCTCTGCTGTTTTCCCTCGTGGGAGATGAGTCTCCCTCTGAGGAGGGCTGTATGTGCAGAAGTGGTTTCTGCTCTGTTTTGGGGAGTGGGTCTCCTTTACAGAGATGCCGCCTCGCTCCCTCCTCTCCTGGCCTTGCCTGGATTGTGGCTATTAGTGGCTGAGAGTTCAGGGGTGAGGGGCCCAAGTGACCATGAGGACTCACACCTGCTGCTTGCTCCTTTTACCCCTCTTGCCGCCTCCCTGATGCCCAAGGAGGGCCCCCAACGTAGAGTCACCAGGATGAGGCTGAGGCCCTGCGCAAAACACAGCTGGCAGCAGAAGGCAGAGGTCGCTTATTTTAGCTCATCTGTTCAGTCGTAATAAAAAGAATTCTCTCAGGTCAGAGACGTGTGTGTCCTCGGTGTCTTGGTGACCCTCTGTGCTGAGGCATGAGACTGAGGGGTCTGGCCACTCTCTAGCGGGTGGCACCCCACGTGGTTCTGCTACTCCGGGGCTGTTGGGTGTGTGTCTTCACTGAGCCCCAGAGCGGGTGGGAGCAGGAGCACCCCACTTGCTGCCAACAGCCAGCCTGCAAGCCAACATAGCGGCATGCCATGCGTTAAAAAATGCATGCTCTGAGTGTTGGGGCGGCGGCGGGGGGCGGGGTGCTGTGGATTAGAGAATAAACAGAAATAAACACACAAGGACTTAACAAGTAAAGCATGGATCAGGTGGTCCGGATTTCTCTGATGGAGATAGCCAGGGCCCTGAATCGCACCCAGGTTTATTCTTTTAAAGGCTAGAAAACGGGGAAATGGGAAGTGTAATGTAAAGCCAGTCATTTTCAGGGTTAATGAGCAAGATGCAAAGACTTGGCACCATGTAGTTCTTTGTAAGTTTCTTTCTCATCTACTGGGGGCCATTTCTGATGAACATATGTGGCTTTCTTTAACTGGATACTGCTTTGCAGTTTGGGGCATAGGCAGCTAGGGTATTGTCATGTTAATGGCTTTCATAGCTTTACAAATGAACGGCCCATGGAACTGCATTTCTGCCTGTGTCTAAAGGTCACCATGTTTGCTCAGATTCAGGTCCTCCCTACAGAGACATGACTCTGTCATTCATCCCCTGGCAGCCTTGATCACCTGATGTGCCCTCCCTGTTTAGGCAGCAGAGCTCCTTGAATGTGGCTAGAGTGGGCACCCCCCCTCCTGGCCAGCTCTATGGCCTCTGCTGGAGGGCCACTCCTGGCTGGGGCCACTTCTGCGTAGGGCCGTGTGTCCTGGAGGGTGAGTCCAGGGAGAGCAGTTTTGTGTCCTCATCTTGGGAAGGGTGGGTGCATGCAGCAGAGGTAGGGGACTGGGGAAAGGGACTAAACTGCAGCTAGAGCTTGACCAGGACCTGAGTCCAGGGCTGGGAAGAGGAGCTCTGGCAGGGCCATGTCTTGGCATAGACCTCAGAACTGCAGACTGAGTCCTGACACCCTGTTTGCTGGGCCTGGTGGTTTGAGGACAGCCTTCTCTGGTTGTCGATTTCTAGAATGCCCAGCACTGCCACATGCCACCCCTTAGACAGTGGGGCCCACCTGGGTCCTAGTGCTTGCCTGATCTTCATGCTCAGCCCGTACAATCCACCTGTAGCCAACCAGCAGGTCCTTTCTCAGCTTACCTGCAACATCCTTAGCCCCCAGGGGCCTTGCTGGAGGCCGCTCTGTATCCGTCTCCCAGGAGCAGCAGGCCACCCTTGGCCTGTTACCCTTCCTGGAGGCCTTACTGGCTTACTCTGGCCCCCAGGCCCAGCCCTGCCTAACTTCTCTGGACCTTTTTCGCAGCCTCCTAGCTGCTTTGCTAGCAACAGCCTCTCTTCTTCCCGCCTCTGAGAGGAATCCCTCTCAGAGCTTTAGGGCTGCCTAAAAATTCCAGGTGCACCTATCTGTAGTCTGGTTATGTCTCCACAAAGATCATTCACTGTCTCCTGACCCTGGGCTACACCATGGGTCACCTAGGGGCAACCTGAAATCTGCCTGGTGCTTGGAACGGATCTCAGACCCGTGCTCTCGCCCTCTCCCTGGTGCTGCCTACCTCTTTTTGGCATGGATCTCCTAAGCGAAGGCCTTAGTATGTCTACTGTACTGGACCACAGGGGCTGTGTGCAGGAATCCAAGGCGGGGACCTGCTTTGGTCTGGAACATGTCCAAGGGCCTCTGGGAGAGGAAGGCAAGAAGAGGGTGGAGGTGCATGGCTTGGCAGGACGAGGCCCTAGGCTGGGGGTGTGTGGGAACAGCTCAGGGCCAGGGGCCCAGGAGCAGGGCTGGTGTACTGCCCGTACCCCTGTGTATTGGGGAACGTGGCCTGGATCCATGTGGGGCTAGGTTGGGTGGAGGAGGCTGGGCAGTGGAGGGGCAGAGGGTGGGAGTGCAGTGGGCACCAACTGGGACTTCTTGGCTGGCCCTGAGAGGAGTTGCTGGGAGGAATATGAGAGAAAGAGCATGTGTCTGTGTTGGTGAGCAAGTGACACATCTCCAGGAAGAGCCTGCACACTATCCTCAGGTAGGTATCCAGGACTCACGTGGTCACACTGGTCTGACAGGAAAGAGCTGTAGGATCTCTGGGGTACACAGGGGGTGTGGTCCCAGCTCTGGTCATCATAGACTGTGGCAGTCCACCAGGAAGGCAGCAGGATGAGGACCAGCACTGTTAGTTTGGGGAGCACGTCCTGCTAGATTGTGAGCTGGGTGGACTGGCCTACACTCTCTAAGGGTGAGGGCAATGCGGGGTGCTTACCATCGACCAGCTCCTGGCTAGTCCCTAGAGTCCTGGCCAGCTCAGGGGCGTTGGAGAAGCCTTCCTGCCTCTTTCACAGTGTCCCTCCCTGTGCAGTTGTAGCTGCCTGAAGCAGTCCCTGAGTTCTGCTTCTATGGTGGGAGCTCAGCCTAAGGCGAGCAGACTCGGGCCGATCCCAGTCCTGCCCTGACAGTCTTTCACTTACCTTTCCACCCCTAAGTCATGCTTTACCTAGTTTCTGTCATTTCTGTTTTGTCAGCTAGAATATGGTCCCGACAAAAATGCCCATGTCCTAAACCCTAGACCCTGTGAGTATGTTACCTTATGTGGCAGTAGGAATGAAAGTTGCGAATAAAACCGAGGTTCCTAGTCAGCTGGCCAGATTACCCAGGTGTTCCAGTGTAATCCTTGGGTTCTTTTATGTGGAAGAGGGGTACAGACTAGGGAGAGCCAGAGAGATGGTAGCATGAGATTCGGCCCAACGGAGATGTTAGAAGAGGCTCCAAGTCAAGGAATGCAGGTAGCCTGGACAAGCTGGACAAGGGACGAAATGAATCCTCCCCTTGAGTTTCCAGAAAGAACCAGCACTGCTGATTTGAAACTTCTATTTTGGCCTGTTGAGACTCATTCTGGATTTCTAACTGCCAGAACTATAAAGAACTTGTCCTTATCCACTAAGTTTACGGTAACTTTAGTGACAAAAAATAAATGCCGATTTGGGACCCAGGGGTGAAGGGCTGCTGTAACAAATACCTAAGAAACGTGGAAGTGGCTTTAAAATTGGGCAGTAGGCAGAGGCCAGAACATGATAGGGAAAGGCTCAGTGTTGGCAGTGAATGGATGTGAACAACTCAGCTAGTGAGGTCGTGTAAATTCAGTGAAAGGGCATGACAGGAAACCTAATCACCCTGAGTACTTAACATCATGAATGACCTGTTAGTACTATAGAAATATGATGTGAAAGGCACTGCTGGTGAGGGCTTCAGGGAAGTGAAGAACATGTCCTCGGGAATTAGAGACAAGGAGATCCTTGTTCTGTAGAAGCAGAAAGCTTACCTGAGTTCTTATCTCCAATTGTGGAAAACAGGACTTGTTACCACCTTGGGTATTTATCTGAGGAGATTTCCAAACAAGGTGTCAAAGGTGCAGTCTTTTTTTCTGGCTACTTACAGTAGTACATGTGAGGAAAGAGGTAAACCAAGGGAAGAACTGTTCAGCAAAAGGGAACTAGCTCCCAGTGACTTGGGAGATCTCAGCCCATCTGAATTGCAAAATACACAAAAGTTAGAGATTCACTGTGAGGAAAAATCTCAAGAGAAAAAGTTAATGATGTTGCTGGAAAATCTCTTGCTAATACCTCAGAAAGATGAAAAGGTCAGCATTTTCAGTCACACAGAGGGCCCTTTGAAAAGATAAAGCGTGTGCCTAGTAAGTGGCCTCAGTCACACCAGCTGGTGTGTGGCGGTTAAGGCATCTGGATCCCACATGGCCAACTGCACCTGGACCCAGTGGCTTAAAAAAATAATAGTAAAAGCAGTGGGCATGTGTGTGTGCATGACCACAGTCCTTGAAGGAGAAATGGAAAAGAGATTACAGCATGGCCACCCATCCCCAGAAGAGTACTTTCTCATTTTCCTTCTCTCTCCACTGAGCACATACACTGTGTCTCTAGCAAATTAAAGAAAAACTGAAAAGGTAACCTGAGTCATCTAAGCCATAGCCAAAGATGAAGACTATCTTTGAATGATCTTTGCACAAGATTTTTGTCTTGAATGAAACTCCTGATAAACACAGAAGACCCACAAATTCTTGGGAATGTTTTATCATCAGAACCTACCAGCTTGGGGCCAGCTGGTGGCATGGTGGTTAAAGAGACTGGGTCCCACATAGTCAACTGCACAGTTTGAGTCCCAGACATGGTGGCTTGAAAAACATGCCAAGGGTGGGAACCAGCATTTAGCGTAATGGCTATGTCGCTGGACTCCCACGTAGTCGACCGTGGTTCGTGTCCCGGACCCAGTGGCTTAAAACTCAGGCCGGGCGCATGTGCATGCGTGCCCAAGATCCCGAGAGGAGAATGGAAGAGAAGGGATTGTGGTGTGACCACCCCCCCTGGGGGGTGATTTCTCGCTTTCTGTCTCTATGTCTCTCTCTGGCGAGCGCATGGGCCCTATAGTGAAAACCTCTCAAAAAAACCCAAAAAACAAAACAAAACAAAAACATGCCAGGTGCATGTGTACCCCAAATCCCAAGAAGATAGCAAGGAGAAGGGATTGTGGCACGGCCACCCTCTCAGGGAGGTGTTTTCTCACTTTCCCCCTTTCTCTGGCATGCATGTGCCCTATAGCAAAATAGAGAAAGCAAGAGACTCTACCAGCTTGGACTGGAGTAGATGGAGAGTGGATGAGATGAAAGGCTGTCAGACCTCCCAAATACCTTTTTATTTATTTATTTATTTAGTGGTAGAGAGATATTTGCTATAGGGCATGTGTGCTCACTGGAGAGACATAGAAACGGGAGATAGCAAGAAATCACCTCCCAGAGAGGATGGCCATGCCACAATCCCTTCTCTATTCTCAGGATTTTGTGCACTCACGCCCGGTGTGACTTTTAAGACTCTGG